TGTGCATATATTGAAAGAATAACATGATGAAGGGAGCCTTGGAGGTCTTTGCCGATTCCAATCAACATGGTGCATCTCTTAGTAGAGGGACTTCAAAACTTGACTAACAAGCGAGAACGTTGACTTTGAGAAAGAAAAGGGGTGCCCTAGCTGCAATCCTCGCCCCTATCTCTAAAGCCACTAAATTATCAGAAATCGTTAAGTACAATATACAAGTTGAGTTCGAGTAGACACTCACTCGACTACTAAACCCGAGTTCGAGCAAGTTCTCACTCGAGGACTATTTATAAAGCCTCAGGGCTATCTTTATTTCGAGTCCGAGTAGACACTCACTCGACTACTAAGCCCAAGGGCTACCCGAGCTTGAACAAGTTCTCGCTCGGGGACTATCTATAAAGCCTTAGGGCTATCTTTATTTCAAGTTCAAGCAAATTTCCACTCAATTACTAAGTCCAAGGGCTACCCGAGTTCGAGCAAATTCTCACTCGGGGACTATCTGTTAATCCTAAGGGCTATCTCTATTTCGAAGATCGAGCAAACGCTCACCCGATTGCTAAGCCCAAAGGTTACCCCAGTTCGAGAAAACTCTCACTCGAGGACTATCAACGAGGCCTAAAAAGGCTAGCTTTATGCCAAAATCGAGACCCTTCTCTCACTCAACTCGGGCTCAGAAGTCCCGGTAACCTAAGTTCGCATCAAATCAATCCAAGCCTAGTCCGAGGGTTAACGAAGAACTTTAAGAAGTATTATATTAGTCAATTAAAAACCTAAGGGTTTATTATGTTCCGGGCCCAGCATTCGGACTAATCGTTATAATTAGACACTTGGATTTTTCACAAACGAAGAAGAATGGAGAAATTCTCATATTAACAAAAGATGTTTACAAAGCCCACGGTGGGCCCTTATACAGAAACAAAGAAGCAAAAACAACAGCCAAAGCCCTAATCTACTTTCGGGGGTATATCTTCAAGAGCGATATCTTCGAGAACCTTTTCCTCGGGAACTCCATTTCGATCTTTAGAGCGGCACCTTCGGAAACCTCCTATGAAACAACAATAGATGAAGAAAAGGCTATAGCCTATCAAAGAGCAAAAGCTTTTAACGAGCGAAGAAAATTGTGGCCTGGTGAAAAACTTGGCGAGTATGGGTCTCGTCAGCACTACTATTGTGAAGCCACTTCTTGAGACATCGTACCGGTGTGGGATGTAAAAGTTAGTAGATAGTGCCACCTCACTCCATGGAAAGCAAAGGGAATGAAGCGCCACACCAGGTTGAAGTTAAGAGAGATGAGCAGCGATGTAAAATCCACATATCTTCTGATACGGGAAGAGTTTGGTGCCCTTCTCTTATTGTTTCGAGCCAACAACAACAACTTAGTATAATCCAACTTAGTGAGGAAAAGCTCTGAAAAAGAGCCATGGTATAACTGACAAAGTTGCTGCCGTATGACCTTGTGGTCACAGGTTTGAACCATAAAATAGGAGATTAGAAGAGGATATAGAGAAGGGAAAGGGCTAAAAGTTGTTGAAGAAAGAATAAGTGTAGTTTATGTTCAAGTAATCCCTTATTTATAGAAAAATGACGACGAAACTGACAGCGCATTCAGTGTTTTTTGGTAAACGGACCGGCGGTGCATTCAATGCTTCTGGGGGAATGAACCGACGGGATGTTTCGATCACTTCAAACGCCTACGCCACGAGCATGACCTCATCGCAAGAGGTTCGAGGAAATCGAGGTCAAAGACGTTTCATATCATTCTATTTTAAGAAACACGGGGACTATCTGTATACGGTCAAAATCGAGGAGTATGATTTTGAAGGCTTAAATCGGGCTATAGGCTCGAGTTCGAGAGATTCGAAGTGGGTGTCGTATCTAGCTAAGGAACACCTACCTCGGGGAAGTTGATCGAGTGTCTGGCACGGACCGCATCGAGGATAGCATTGTCGCGAAGTCAATCAAGAAAGATCGGGAATTTCTCAAGGATACGTGGACCTGGAATTATAGGATAAGGGTTGTACAAAATGGTACAAGTCCGTACTAGACCGTTATACACTTGTACCAATAGAATCCTTTACTTTTTATAAGGAATGTACTATATTAGGGAGTTCTCCTCCTATATAAATGGGACCCCAATCATATTGTAAAGGCATCAGATCATTCATTGCAATAGAACATTCTTATTCTTCTTGTTTAACGTGCTCTCCAATTATTCTTCAGCTTTATTGCCTTTACTTTATTGTTCATACTTTATTATTCTTAGCTGAGCTCGAGGTCCCTGGATAAGTCAAGCTCGAGGCCCCCTACTGTTACAACAACACTGATTTGGTTCTTTATTTCTGCTTACTTATGCTCAATATTACTTGTATAATCACTAGTATTAGAATATATCACGTATCTTTAAAACCACAAAATATCTTTAATTGTTAAGCTCATTTTTCGAGGTAAACAAAATCCGAAAACCTCTTTATATTCGAGATACACTAATCTAGATTTACGGCAGCCTATGAAAAGAGTTTAAAATTTTTTCCGCCTCTCATGGCTTAAATTCGAGAACTTCTCGTTAAAGGTGAAAGGTGATTAGAAAATTTAAGCTACTAAGGTGTCACTTAGAGATAAGACTTATTCACTAGTTTATGATCTTTATTCTCACATGATAGGAGTTTATTGCTTGAGTCCGTCACATTTTTATTTTCAATCGTATAATCTTAGTACAAAAATACATACTCCATCAATTAAGCAGTGTAAATCAAGGCCAATGCAGAAATTCGGACTAAATTTGGTGGGGTGCGCCAGGCCCTTGCAGTAGTGCAACGCATGAGCGACGCTTGAGAACCCAAGTAGCAAGCTATTTTAGTGGACTCTCCCCCTTAAAAAATTGAGTTAATATCGTGTGAGTCAATGACTCACATATCAGATATTAAACTGATAAGAACAGATACTACACTTATCAGGCCGAGAAAGGTATGCTTTATGTCGTGCTCGGCCTTCCGCTTTTATATCAGTTTCTCCTTTTTGCCTTTCGTTAGTTTTCGATGTGGTACTCCTGTAGGCTGGAAAGTTTTATGTATTTGATATATGCGCCTTTTTCTTGCCTGAAGAGTGAGAGGAAAAGAGAGTACGAACTCTTCTCGCTTTATATGCAAACTTTATAATTTTCACGTTAAATTAATGGACAAGGATGAAATTTCAGAAAAAAATAAGAGTTGTGATGTGGAAGTTTGTTCTACCATGGTAAATATTTATCCACTTTCACATGTATTTCAAATCAAGTAATTTAATTGTATCAGTTAAAAATTAAAATAAGAATATGTATCATTTAACCATGACACGTGATTGATAAATGTTACTGTAAGAACGCTACCGGGTGCTAGTAAGTTTTTACTATTCTACCATTTGGCCGAAATTGAACCTCATCGGTTTTTCCCCATAATAAATACTAGAAAATTTAGATGTTTGAATTAATTTAAGGCCGTTGAGTGTATACATTGGCTTCGATGCCTCTATCTAATCTGTTACTGTATTATTATTTTGGAAGCAGCCACTAATGCGTGTACTAAGGTAGGTTGTCTATATCATATCCTTTAGGAATCGATCTTTCCCCCGATCTGTGTGAACACAGCTGCCATTGTTGTCAGAGAATGAAAACCACAAGTGTACAAAAAGCTGAAAAATCAAAAAATCACTAATCATTGTCTAAAGATTTTAGATTATTATTGTGGAAAGCAATTGCAAAAGGAACCCAATTCGACAATAATCTGGTAGACGGGCTTGCATTAAAATAAGATCTTTTTTTTTGTTTAACCATTTGGCAGTCGAAACTTATTGGCTCGATTAATCTATAATTATATTGCGTAGGACTCATTTAAGAGGAAACCATTCTCTAGTAGGAATTTTTTTATTTTCAAGTCTTGAATCGGAAACCTCTGGCGAAATATAAAGAGATCTCATTCATCCTACTACATCTCTTGGTTAAATTTATTTGACGTTTAAATAATTAATGCTATTGCCATTTAAACTTTAATTTCTTCCAAGTCCATTGTAAAAGTTATACTAAAACCAAGTAACTCGTATATCCATGCACAAAATAAGAGTATGACGATTTGTAGGAAAAATCAATATTCGGTTTCAAAATGTTTCAATTTCATAGTCAACAATACCAAATCAACAACAATTTTTCTTTTAAAAAAAAAATGAAAACTTAACAAATCAATAGAATTGTAGAAAGGTCAAAACATAGATTTAACACATAGATTAATTTATAAAAAGGTCAAAACAGAAACATAATTTCCTAAACGACGACAGCTTGTCAAAATATAATGCAAGTTAAACCAAGACACAAAAGATCTAGACTAGATTTGGTGGGGTACGCCAGGCTTTGGCGGCAGTGCAACGCCAAAGCGACGCTTGAGAGCCCAGGTAGCAAGCTACCTTAATGGACTCTCCCCCTTAAAAAATTGAGTTAATATCGTGTGAATCAATGACTCACATATCAGATATAAAACTGATAAGAACAGATACTACACTTGATCTTAGCCAAAAGGCCGAGAAAGGTATGCTTTATGTCGTACAAGGCCTTTCGCTTTTATATCAGTCCTCTCCTTTCTGGCTTTTGTTAGCTGTCGATGTGGGATTTCCTGCAGATTGGAGAATTTTATGTTTCATATGCCCATTTTGTGCCTGAAGACACAACAGGGAAAATAGAGTAGTAACTCTTTGTTCTCACCATATGCTAAGTTTGTAAGTTTCACATTTAATTAATGGACAAAGATGAAATATCAGCCAAAAAAATGATTATGATTTGAAGATCTGTTCTACCATTTGCCCGATATTGAACCTCGTGTTTTTTTCCCCAATATTAAATAAACAGAGTTATGTCAAAGATAATTACCCAAGCAAAGGTCCAACAATACAAGTATCTAAAAAGAAATGCTTATATGTGCATATATTGAATGATAACACGAAGGGGAGTCTTGGAGCAACGGTAAAGTTGTTTCTTGTGATTGTTACGGGTTCGAGCCGTAGAATCAGCTACTGATGCATCAGCGTAGGCAGCCTGCATCACACCCCTTAAGGTGCGGTTCTTCCACAGACCCTGCCTATATCACACTCCTCATGAGATGCGATCCTTCCCGAGTCCCTGCGTGAAAGATGCATCGTGCACCGGGCTGCCCTTTATATTGAAAGAATAACATACATGAGCTACTTTGAGCTATATTGCGAGAAACAAAATTTGACGTGCTATAATTAGGGTAGATCAATTCACAACTAATTTCTGTTTCACCTTTACAAAAACCCAACCTCATTCATACCCAATTGGGAGGCCCTTCAGACTTCAATTGCAAACTGATGTTAAGCAACAACAGAGCTCGACGTCCAACTACTTCGCACTTCCATCAAAGCATTGCATTCTCAGCATCGTCGCACTTAGAAGCTAATCTTCTTACCCCCAAGAAAATGTATACATGATGGAGGTTGATTGTCAACGCTCTTCCCGACAATAAATGTTCAACTGGTTCTCCAACTCTCCTTTGAGAAGGTTCATCTTAGCCGTAGTCTGATAGCAACAAGAAAAACATCACAAAGTAGCTTGACATGATAGGAGCACAACTAAATCCATAAACTCGAATAAAAAGGCCACCAAATGATAGAATAATCAAGCCAAAAAGCATTATGAATATCTTTAGTTTGCAAGAAGAATACACAATATGTGGAAGCTATAAGGTATGAAGAAATCACATAAAAAAAGAAGTATAGTTTGACCCGAAATATGAAAGAATTATTTCCTAAACTTTTAAGCATCAGCGACATGTTCCTTAAAATAAACTTATTTAAAACTGGGATAGCCTTTTCTTTACACCAGAATACTGGCATATGCAGAGATATCGCACATAGCCTCTCGACCTTCATAAGGCAGAGGTAAGGTCTGTGTACACATTACCCTCCCCAAACCCAACTTGTGGAATTTCACTGGGTTTTTTGTTGTTGTTGTTGTTGTTGCTGCTGCTGCTGCTGCAGAGATATCGCACAGTCACAGACCATCAAGCAAATTCAACTTTCCTTACCGGAGTTGTAAAGGTGGATTCAGATATCATTCTAGTATCATATCCTATCATAGGTGCATGATAACCCAAGTTTCATATGAAAATTGAGGCATACATAGTGTTCTTGAGGACAAAGAGTACATCGTCGATAAGATTTCTGGACATACTCTAACAAGTTTCAACCTTCTTACTAGAAACGAACTGAGATAGAATGCAAATAGCAAACAAAAACAGATAAACTACTTGATACTGTAGCATGTATAGTGAAAAAAATGAGAAATATTCCTGCTATACCTTTTTCTTTACTTCAACTCGAGCTTTCAGCATCACGTCTTTGACATTTTAATTTCTCATATTAGCCGGTACATGATGCTTCTACATTGATTCCTGGACCATAAAATAAGGCTGTTAAGTCACAGTACATGACTTATTAGGTTAATATAATGGTCGCCTTTCTTAAAAACTTGCATGAACAAATGGTTCAAATCATATTCTTCATATTCTTCATCTCTTTGATTTCTCTATATCATCTCTTGCATTAGAGGCAATAAATTTTCTTTAAGCAGCATGTAGATCTCCCTCTTCTCTGGGTGAGACTTGTCTCCCACAAAAAATATGTGATTTTTCCCATTGACTTCTATTTCACTCATACCGGGTACTTTTTTCACATTCCTCTCCTTCATTTTCTTCCTTACTTGCGCAAAATCACCCCATCTCCCAGAAGCAGCATAAGCATTTGCCATTAGTACATAAGCTCCTGAGTTACCTGGTTCACGCTCTACTATTTCATCGCAGATCTGGTTCGCTACTCCAACATCTCCGTGCAACTTGCAAGCGCCAAGTAAAGCCCCTAAAACCGCACCATCACATTCCTCCGGAGGCATCTGTTGCACCACCCGCATAGCCTCGTCAACTAACTTACCACGACCTAAAGTGTCAACAAGGCAACAGTAATGCTCAGCCCTCGGTTTTAAACCATAGGCATGCCTCATAGACTCGAAAAACTTTTGACCTTTCTTAACAAGACCGGCATGACTACAAGCTGACAAAAGCCCCACAAAAGTGATCTCATCTGGCTTGTTACCGAACCTTAGCATTTGCGCGAAGGCTTGTAATGCTTGGTTTCCAAGACCATGATTAGCATATGCCAGTATTATTGCAGTCCATGAAACAACATCCTTTACTTTAAGATTCTCAAAAGTGATCAATGATGAGTTTATATCTCCACATCTGGAGTACATGGTGACGAGAGCATTATTAAGCGTAGTGTCTTGGTCAAATCCGAGCAGTAAAACAAGAACATGAGCTTGCAATAACTCCAGGATCCCCCCACATGAGGTCACTACACTGGTGAGAGTAGTCTGATTCGGCCTTAAGCCCGATCGGAGCATGCTAATGAAACACTTCAAGGCTTCACCCTCATGGCCACTTTTTGCATACCCGTCAATCATTACATTCCAACTTACAGTATCTTTATTAGGCATCGAATCAAAAAGTTCATCGGCCTTAGCCACTAGGCCTTCATTAACGTAGGCTGTTATCATAGCATTCCACGCAGCAGGATCCCTGTTTGGCATTTGATCAAAGTACTCTCTTGCCATTTCTAACAACCCATTTCGTGCAAGACCAGTAACGATAGTTGTCCAGGAAACTGCATTTTTCCATGGCATCGAATTAAATAGTTCCAAAGCTTTGTCCACTCTCTTGTCATTTAAACAACCTTGAATCATAACATTCCAAGAATATAAATTACGTTCAGGCATCTTATAAAAGAGCTCAAGAGCTTGATCCACCTGATTATCTTCAACATAAGCCCTGATCATCGCCGTCCAAACAATAACATTTTTCTCAGGAATCTGATCAAAAATACGTTGTGCCTCATTAATCAAACCATTTTGAGCATAGCCCACCATTGCTGCAGTCCAAGTAACCACATTTTTCTCAGGCATTTCTTGAAGCAGCTTTCGAGCTTCATCCACTCTACGGTTCTGAAAATACCCGGAAATCAAACTGGTCCACGCATAAACATTTCTATCCGGCATTCGTTCAAAGATTCTCCGAGCCTCATCGAGTCTGCCAACTTTAGCATAAGCATGAACCATAGCAGAATCAGACACTACATTTCTCTCAGGCATGGAATAAAACAACCTCTCAGCTTTAGGAAGGTCCTTATGTTTTAAATAAACAGTAATCATTGAAGCATATGAAACAACATCTCTTTGAGGCATTTCGTCAAACAACTGCCGAGCTTCTTTAACTTTGCCTTGATGGCCTAAAGTCATAATCATTTTATTGGAGCTAAAAATGGACTGTCTTGTGGTAGATTCTAAGTGGGGTTTTGACTGTATATGTATTTGAATAGGTGATTTTGGTTTTGAATATGTTCTTGAAAGGAATGGACACCTCAAAATGCGGCCATAATCATTACTCAGCAAATAATGTGAACTCCCAACTATAAATGAGTGGCTTAATTTAATCAAACTTCTGGCTTTATACATGATTATTTGTTAATAATCTCTGGTGGGAAGAGGGATTAGCTATGGGATTATTGTTGTATGAAAATACTAGTGGCAGTAGTAGATAACTAGATACACGTGTGATAGGAGCAGAAATTAGAGACATGGCAATGACAAAGGACATTTATACCGGTGGATGAGAGGTCTCGGATTTCGAACCTTAACTATGGAAAATTTTTTGGTAGGGAGCGCTTGCCCCCGAATGGGGCCCTACACGACGTAAATCCGGATATAGTTACGCTCTAACGCGGAGAACAGACACGGGTGAAAACCAAAAAAGAAAAGAAAAAGACAAAGGACAGTTATGGAGGAATTATTTTGTAGCTAGCATAAAGTTTTGGAAAAAGGCAACAACTTTTGAGAAAAGGTTTTACACTAAAAGAAAAAAATTCAAAATTTTTTTGGAAAAGACTTTAACTAAATAAAAGTTATCAAAAAAATTCAAGAAATTCTCTAGTCCAAACGACTTAGTGGGCGTTAGGACATAAGAATTGTAAAATTTCAGAAAAAAAGTGAATATTTTTTAAGTGAAAATGGTATTTGAAAGTTAGAGTCGTGTTTGGATATGAATACAATTCTTGGCTGTTTTTGAATGTTTGTGAGTGATTTGAAGTGAAAATTTTGAAAAATAGCATTTTAGAACTTTTCAAGTTTTCGAAAAATTCCAAAATTCATCTTCAAGTGAAAATTGAAAATTTCTTGGCCAAAAGCTGATTTTCGAAAAAAAAAGTGAAAATTTTTGTATAGCCAAACGACCCCTTATTAGACGAACCTTGCGGAATAACCTTTAGGTATTAAAGCCAAGGGGGTTCAAAAAAAGGAAAAAGTTAAAAAGATTGTAGCTAGTAGGAATAGAACTAATGACCTTACAAAGGTTTTGAACCCCCTTGACCACTACGCTATGCTTTTGAGCTATGTCAAGGAGATTCAAAACATAATATATAGAGGTAAAAAATAGCTTTTATCTTATATATACAGTGTAATTTTTCGGCTAAGGGGAGTTCGGATGAACGCCCTTCCGCCCCTAAAACCGCCACTGCTCACAGAGTCATGAATAATGTCATTATCTTCTTGAGCAAAATCACATCCTCCGTTAAGAAATCATGTTAAGAGTCTCTTAATCGAGCTAACATCAAATTCATGTGTTTTAAAGTGACTTTGCGTGCTTGAATTTCGTCGACCAACATAAGTGCTTAAACTGATTCGGGATTGTAAAAAATAAAATTACTGTTTATAAAATATTCAACTTGTTGCAATATTTAATCCATTAGATTCCGTTTATATAGGAATAATTTGGGTGCATCTTAAAGAACACTTACCTATTAGAATAGTAAAAGAGATTTTATATTATGATTTTATCAATTGTCGGAATCCTTCCCACTATGTCTCTTATTATCTCGTCTTAAATATTCTCTACCGATCATGAGCACTTCAGGTGTCGTAATTTTCTTTCGAGCAACTACAACAATTTACTAGGCATATTCTCCTGCACTACGCTAGCTGGCACTATTTTATCACTTACTATGACCACGTCAAAGCTTTATTATTGCTAAACTCACCACGTCAAGGCTTTATTTTTTCTAAACTCACGTTTAAACCCGCCGTATTGATTCCTCATATGTTAGGAGTGACGTTGTTAAACAACCACCTAAATATGTACCCTAGCAATACGTAATAAATAGACACAGTCAATCAATGGTCTGAAATAAAAACGTAGTTGAACAAATAAAAAAATTAAAATGCTCAATTGTATAAAAACATACTTTTGGTGAACAAAACAATGACAATCTGAAAATATTAGGAAAACTTTCATTCGAAAAGGGCATAATTTTAAACAAATTTTTATTTATGACATTGTATTGGATGTAATTGCAAGATCCAAATCTTTAAATTACAAAGGACATAAATTTATACAGTGACGCTACCGGGATTTCAGTGGCGACTAGAGGAAAATAGTGTTCGCTTGGGCCAACCTCAAGCTGATACTGGGCTATAGGCCCAAATATTTGGACTTAAGATTGGGCAGGGCCGCGCGAACACAGGCCTCCACTATCACAAATTATGACATAGGCTCGACCACTTGGGCCGACCTTAGGCTAGCACCCCTCCAAAGTGCAATAGAGGTCACAAGCCTAGGCCATGGACCTTTTTGATCGCCCATTGACCCCGTCCAGGTAAGTATGTTAACCCGTCAGCTTAGCCCAACTTTTATTGTACAGCATTTGCTCATTCTCAGTTTGTATTCGCCGATGTGGGATTAATAAACTAAGGAAGAAAGATTCTAGCCAAATTTCCATTATTAAATATGTCTAAATTAGAATATTTAATGCTAAATTTCCTATCTTCTAGGGTGAGTTTTCGGTGATTTTTTTTTTATTTTGAAAAATTTGTCGCAGCATATTAACCTTCGGAACTATAGAAGTTCATAGTATTGAATAATCAAATATGTAGAATATGTCTAAGTATATCCGAATGGCAAGGCTTGCTAGTTTCCTAAAGTACACTCGCATTTGTCTATCTATATCATAGTTAGCTTGGAAGGAAGGTCTCAGATGTTTCCTCTATCTATGCCATACTTGGGATTCACTGACAGCCAACATTGAGAACCCGAGGCAACCTAAACAATGACAATAAAACGTTATGACTGGATTCAATTGAAGTTCAAAAATACATATATTAATTATGCATTATAAACCAAGGCCCGATAAGAAATTTAGACTAAATTTGGTGGGGTGCGCCAGGCCCGTGCAATAGTGCAACACATGAGCGACGCTTGAGAGCCCAGATAACAAGCTACCTTAATGGACTTTCCCCCTTAAAAAATTGAGTTAATATCGTGTGAGTCGATGACTCACATATCAGATATTAAACTGATAAGAACAGATACTACACTTGATCTTAGCCAAAAGGCCGAGAAAGGTATGCTTTATCTTATACACGGCCTTCGACTTTTATATCAGTTCTCTCCTTTCTCGCTTTTGTCAGCTTTCGATGTGGTATTTTGTAGGCTGGAGAATTTTATATTTCACATATGCGCCTTCTCCTTGCCTGCAAGGGAAAGGAAAGAACTAATTCTTCTCACCTTATGCAAAACTTATAATTATCACGTTGATTTAAATGGACAATTTCAGCCAAAAAGAAAAAAGTTATGATCTGAATGTCTGTTCTACCAAATAATGCGAAACCATAAAGGAGTAGCTTAATTTAATAAAACATCTAGTTGTATACATGATTCTTTGTTGATAATCGCATATTATTGTATGAAAATAGTTGCAGTAGTAATTGTTGGGGAAAGTACAACTAATTACAGTTGAAAAATATGATGAAGAAAAATACATTATGTCACACCACTTTTTGTATCCCCCGAAATATATGTATGTATGGGTTAAAGAGTTTTTCCAATTAAAGTGACAAAAACTTGAGTAGGGATTATTTTATTGTTCAGAGTCGCCACTTGGAATTGATTTTTTCGGTGTTCCAAGTCACCATTTACTTGAATCCCTAGTCAAAGGAAGGTTTGACTCTATTTTTATCGGTCCGCGAAAACAAAGTTCGGATAAGGAATTCTGTTGACCGGGGAGAAGGTATAAGGCATTCCCCGAGTCCCGTGGTTCTAGCACAGTCGCTTTATTGACTTAAACTTGGCTTGAATTAATTTTGGACAAACTGTGATTTATATTATTTTCATGTTGTACCTATCCGCTTTTATCTCTTGATTATTAGAGAAATCAAAGAATGTTTTTGAATAATATAAAAAAAATGCCATAACCACGCTACGCGAGCGAATGCGTGATCGAATAAAAAATAATTAATTAATTTGTCATAATTGTGCCTCGCAAGCGAATCCGAAATCATGACAATCAATTATTTGTAATACTTTTAAAAAAATACTACATTTGAGAAAATTAGCTCTTTAAAATTTACAAGTCAACCGTCGCGCTACTCAAGCGAATGCGTGATCGACGAAATTTATTATTTAATCATAACGGCGCTACGCAAGCGAATCCGCAGTCATGACAAACAATTGTTAGCAAGTTATTTACTTCTAACGAATATTGTAGGACCTTGTTGAATTAAATTATTGAATGTTGAACATCACGTTACGCAAGCGAAACCGTGGAATTAGAGCGCACCTGCTAATTGCCTAGCGTTCGATATAATTAATTGGAAGAAAGTGAGTTACTTAATTGGTATATAAAAAAATATCTGATTTTTATTTCTATTTTTCTAATCTTATTATTGAAAATATTATGCAAATAAATGTTGGACCAACTCTATCTATTTTAAAGGGATGGGCCAACTTCTTTGTTAAAAGGGGAAATGGGCCAGCTTGTAAAGACCTCTTGGGCTGCTGGAATTTATTACTAAAAAATGGGCCAAGAAATGGATTTTTATTGGCCCAATGCTATATAGAAGAAAAGGGTAATTTTGTTGTTTAAGGTAAATGGGCCAGCTTTTATTTTTTGGTTCAAAAGGCCCAAAGTTGATACAATATTGGTTCTTTAACTTAGTTTGCATTTATGACCATTAACTACATAGCCACAATTGTATAAACACACACTTTACAAAAATAGCCACTTTTGCAAAGCTGGCAAAATGGCCAGATTCAAAAAAACACTTTACAAAAATAGCCACTTTTGCAAAAATGGCAAAAATGGCCAGATTCGAGAAAAAAAACAGCAATCCTAGAAGCAATGTTGCATTGAAATTTCAGCAACTAAAACAAACTCATGCTATGTGTTATACACCTAAAGTCATTCATGGCATACTTAACATTGTTACTCGAATACAATAGCTTGAAAACATGCTTAAAAATCCATAAAACTACTGACATATCAACTTATTCCCATTGCTAAAAATACATACATTACGAGTCTTAAAGGATTACCTGAATAGCAAAAGGATAAATGGTAGTCCAGCAATTCAACCAGCATAAAAAACAGCAGCACAACAACAGCAAAATCAGCAGCAAATCCGTGTTAAAACAGCCCGAAAACTCAGAGGAGAAACCCAGAAACAAACTCTAAAGAGGACTTATACTTTTCTAAAAGTTTGCACTCTAAAATCAACTCCTAAAGCTCACAATTTCAGCTTACTTTCCATGTGTTCAAGTGCTGATTTTTTTTTAATGTTTTTGTGTGTTTTTTCCTTCTCAATTGTAGTGTGTTGGAGTCCTTTATAATGAAGAAAGGGCAGCCCTTAAATAGGCAAAGAAAAGCCAACTTTTTGGACAGATTTTGGTTCCCCAAAAATCTGTCCAAAAGAGGCTGAATTTGTGGGCTAAAGG